TATGGATGGGAAAGATTCTGCAGCACCTCAGCCCATAACCACGTTGCCCCCATCAATTCAGGTGGCAACTGTTGATCGTAAATCATCACGGTAATCCCCTCCCCCTAATATTAGACCTCTAGGGTTTAGGATTTAGGGTTTAGGGCTTATAGTAAATATTCGGGGGAGGGGATGAGATCTTCTGCCGACACTTAACGACATGGCAGCAGCTGCCTTTATGCCCTGTTGGCACTTCGGCACTGCCCAAGACTTTCTCCTACATGTCCAATCAGAGCATTCTGGGTTTAGGGTTTAGGGTCTAGGGTCATCAGGGTTCAGGGTTGCAACGAAGGTGGATACTGGAGACTCTCAACTTGGCTAGGCCATTGGGCTCCTTCTTCGACATTCAACAGAGGACATGAGGAGGACCCGCGCTATGGCGAATTATCATTCAAGTCATAAATGCGCGCGTGCGAGGTCCCCTTGAACAACCTCGGACGCTTGCCTCATAGCCTGTCGCAGTCCTGCCAGGGGCTTGCCAAAGACACCTACCGAAGCCTTACAAGAGCTGTGGAACTTAGAACAGGAACAGGACATAAGAACTTGGGCTGCTTTTGCAGGCGGTCTTCTAAACAAAACCCAAAATCCAAACCCGGAACCTGCCACTTCCCGCATCGCTTACCAAGCATCGGCCTCTGTAACCGTGGCTTCTCATCAAACTCAGCGCGCCTCGGCTTGAGAAAGCCATGCAACAAACAATGCAACGCGCTGCTTCCCATCGCTGACAGCGTTGCTGTGTAGGGTTTAGGTTTCGGGTTGAAAGCTGCACGAGCGCAAACTCTGCTTTGATCTCTTCAGAAGTTTTCAGCTGAGGCCGCAGCAGCAATCATGTAGTCACATTCCTCATGCCAGGACGGGCGATTTAAACCTTGTTAATTACAACCCTCAACAAAACCCTTTATAAGGTTGTTTAAGGGGTGGTAGGGCCAGGTAGCCCAGGACATCCAGTGCAATTGCAGACGACACATAGGATATCGGGGGTTTCCGAAAACGAGTGCCCCTCCTTCGGATATTCTCATGATCAGGATGTGTAGCTTTTGGCGTAAGTAAGTGGGTCCCCTAGTTTGAGAATTGCCTGGAAATGCCCATGAGCACCAACACAGCCGGGCCAAGCAAATTTTGAATTTTGGTATTTTAGCACAAAGCAAGGCTGCAATTCAGGGCCCATAGCTGTTGCTGTAATCACGGCATGCATGGCCAGCGGCCACATGCCATACTCCCCGTACAGATTGCTCTACCCCGCCGGCGGAAGTGTTGAAGAATCCGCAGACCAAGCAGTCGACGAAATCATGCTGGGAGATACCCTAATACGCCAACGCTCTCTACCCGATGTCGTACGAAATCTGTCTGGCAGCGATGTCTGTGCATTCTTACTTGCTGAGTTCATAAGCCCCCCCCCCCAACAAAAAAAAAAAAAAACGTGTACACTTTCAGTTCTATAGGGGATTATCGTATCCCAAAAAGTGTGTAGTGTACTCCTTCAGCTACTAAGGCTTAAAGATACCAAGGACCCTAAACCCTAAACCCTAAACCCTGAACCCTTAAAGAATACCAGGGAGACAGTTTCTAAGCAATTTGAAAATCCAGCATCCCACCTGTCCTCAACCGCCCTTGCTCCAGCTTCGGAAAGGATCTCCTGGACAAGTGCATAGGAGCGTGTGCACCAGCAATCCTTCTCGTGCGCTTGGAGGCTGCCCTGAGCCCGAAAACCCAAACCCTAAACCCTAAACCCTAAATCCTAAACCCTTGAATCCTAAACCCTGAACCGCGCTCCGGCACACGTTTCTTGGCTGGCAGCTTTGGATCCAAACTCTTCAAGCCATTCCCGAACCTGGCCGGCACTTGCACTCATTAAACCCTAAACCCTAAACCCTAAACCCTAAACCCTAAACCCTAAACCCTAAACCCTAAAACCCTAAACCCTAAACCCTAAATAAGAACCCGCAAAGACACTTCGGGTTTAGGGTTTCGGGTTTAGGGGTAGGGTTCATGGTTTAGGGTTGAGGGTGCCTTATGTAGGTAGTTGCCAAAACCCACCTTCTAGGATTCTCAGGTAGCCTGCAACAAAGTAGGTCTTGGGTTCTTAAAGAACCTGATGCCCCCTGCGAGCAAGAACTTACCTCATTCCAGTACCTACTTTTGTGTAGGGTCCCCAAGAGCTCCAAAAGTGGGGGGTTATATGCGGACCTGAACTTAACCAAAGTGTCTAGCACATCTGCAGGAATCAGGTGCAATCTTCACCCTTGCCAGTCGGGTGAAACCGCACCCTAAAGGCCCTAAACCCTAAACCCTAAACCCTACACCCGCAGGGTGCAAACAGGCCAGCAGTGCTCTGTCGCATACTTTGGCATCTTCTTTGCAGGAATCAATGGGTCCTAACGAAAGAAGGCGGGCGTGACTATCTCCTAGAGGACGGCTCTGAATTCAACACAAACGCTGCGACAAGCGAAGCACCCCTAAACCCTAAACCCTAAACCCTAAACCCTAAACCCTAAACCCTAAAGCCTAAAGCCTAAAGCCCTAAACCCCTAACCCCCTAAACCAACCCTAACTCCTAACCCCTGAGCGCATCGCGAGGAGCGTTGGCAACGAGCGCGCTTCGGGGGGGAGCTGTACCTCCCGATGGGCTCGCAGCTTGCAATGGCTGCGCATGCGCTTGGGCACGTGCTCCCCTGGCACACTATAGGGTTTAGGGTTTAGGGTTTAGGGATTAGGGTTTAGGGATTAGGGTTTAGGGTTTAGGGTCCCACCGCACCCAGTAAGGACCCTCAAATTGAGCCCTTTAGAGAACTAACTGCCCATATGGGGGTTTCCCAAAGTAGGGGTACCGTTTTTGCTAAGGTTTGACGAAGTGTGGAGCTCCTGTCTCAGAGTAGGGTATAGGAATTTTGCTCCCCTTAGAACCTTAATCAAAAATCACCATGTTGAACATACCCTTGGGGTGTTATACAAGTGAACATAAAAGAAGTCCCAAAGGGGCTAGTGGAAAAGGCAACGTCAGCCCGTTTGCAGCACGATGGCCTTCATAGGCTCAGTTGCGGGCACGGCCTGGCAGTGCAGCATGGCATCGGCCCAACATCAATGAGAGATAGTTCCGCAAAGTTAGGGTTCAGGACTTTCCCCCCAACCCTAAACCCTAAACCCCAAACCCAAACCCTAAACCCTAATTAAACCCCAAACCCTAAACCCTAAACCCTAAACCCTAAACCCTAAACCCTAAACCGAAAGCACAACATTTCTTGTTGTTTAGGGGTGAGGGCCGAGGATGTGGGGTTCCGTAGGCGGCCCAAGAATCCTGAAAGGGCCTTCTTCATGTAAAGCCTACGTAGGCTTTTAGCTTCTTCAGGAAGGGTCTGCAACTGTATCGTTGCAGGCAGGGCGGGGGGTGGCATTCCAAAACCTTGTCTTAAAAGGGTCCTCGCATTCAGGGCTTCGGGTTTAGCATTAAGGGTTTAGGGAGGTCGAAATGTGACATAGAACGAATACGGAGACCCGCTTGCACGAAGGAAAAGGCGCTCTCTCACACAGACAATTCACACGACGACGCCCTTAAAACCTCTCAGCCCTCAAGCCTCATTGAGCCCTCTATAATAAACCCAAAACCCTAAAACCCTAAACCCTAAAACCCTTAAACCCGTAAACCCTTAAACCCGCAAACCCTTAAACCCTAAACCCTAAAGCCCTAAACCCATTAAACCCGTAAACGCTTAAACCCTCAAACCCTCAAACCCTTCACCAAAAAAAACCCAAACCCAAAACCCTGAACCCCAAACCACCACCAGTCTCAGCGCCGGACCCTCCGAGGCTTGTGGGACGGGTTCGTGCCCAGCTGTCCGGCCTTTCGAGCGGAAGCAAGCTTAGGGTTTAGGGTTTAGGGTTTAGGGTTTAGGGTTTAGGGTTTAGGGTTTAGGGTTTAGGGTTTAGGGTTTAGGGTTTAGGGTTTAGGGTTTAGGGATTAGGGAGGTTCAGGGTACTTGCAACCCTGCTTGACTTTAGGACTTCAGCATCCTTGAAACGCAGAAGACCTTATAGTCCCTACAACCCTTGTGGTTTAGGGTTTAGTTTTGAATCCTTATGACCCTGAAACACCACAAACCCTACATAACTTGCATACCACATATTCTGGCCCTTCATACCCCGCAAACGCTACATACCCTGCAACCTAAAGTAGAGACCCGAACACCCAAACAACCCGAACCCCAAAGCCCTGAACCCCCAAACCCTAAACCCTGAAACCCCAAATCCTCAAGCCCTACATACCCTAAAACCCTAAACCCTGAAGCTCTGTAAACCCTAAAGCCCTTAACCCTAAACCCTAAACCCTAAAGCCCTAACAACCCTACAAGCCCTGCATGCCCTAAAGCCTCTATTTACCCTAAACCCTAACACCCTACGGCCCGAAGGCCCCCCCACTGACTGAACCCCAGACCCTGACTCAGCGCCAAACCCTAAACCCAAACCCGAAAACCCAAACCCGAGAAGCTATCCCCCAAACCCTAAACCCCAAACCCCAAACCCTAAACCCTAAACCTTAAACCCTCAAAGCCTAAAGCCCCTAAGCCCTGACTCAGCCCGGTGCAGCAAAGCCGGGAGCTTCGAAGTGTGCAATCGGCTCCAAAGGCATGGACTCGGCGCAGTTTAGGGTTTAGGGTTTAGGGTTTAGGGTTTAGGGTTTAGGGTTTAGGGTTTAGGGTTTAGGGTTTCTAATTTTGGGTTTAGGGTTTGTTGTTTAGGGGTTTTGACCGGTGGCAGGGAGTTCAGGGGCTTAAGGGAGTTGGGCTTCAGGGGTTTAGGGTTTATAGGGTTTTGGGTATGTAGGGCTCTAAAGTATTGGCGCGCTTGGCCTCTTCTTTTGATGGGTCATCCTTATGCTCGTTTAAGGCTGAGGGTTTAGGGACCTGCCTACACCCTACAACAAACCCCACTTAAAAAGGCTCACGGGTACTAACCCTAAACCCTAAACCCTAAACCCTAAACCCTAAACCCTAAACCCTAAACCCTAAACCCTAAACCCTAAACCCTAAGCCTTACTTTAGAGGTCCATGGGTACTTATCAGGCAGGCCATGGGCCCTACTTAAGAGCTTGTGCTGCAAGTAGGGCAACTCAAGGTCTACTTGGTTGTAGCCTTGACTCGGACACCCATAACCCCATGAATAATCAGTCCCCAAGAACCTCCAAGTACTGGCCCTGAACCCTAAACCCCAAACCCCCAAACCCCTAAACCCCTGATTCAGGGCCCTGGCTGAGAGAACGCCATGCTGCTTTAGCCAGTCCTTGGAAAGCCGCGGGTGCTTAGCGCAGCCTTTCATGGCCCTCTCCGGCGGGGTTTGGGGGTCTACGATTTGCTTAAGTGAACACCCCAGAAAATAAACACGTTCTTCCTTATAAGGGGAAAATCGGGAGTATTATCTTTGATGAGCAAATAGTAGTTGAGGGATTTCCCTAAAGCCCCAAACCCACTGGTGGGGTCCGAAGTCTCATTTGCCCCGTGAGCGTTGGAGAACTCTAGGATTGATCCGAGCCTATGTAGCCTACCAGGGCAGCTTGTCTCTTCTAAACCCTAAACCCTAAACCTTAAACCCTAAACCCTAAACCCCAACCCCTAACCCTGAACCCTAGATCATCTTGCGGACGACTCGCTTGCTGCCCAAACAAAACACACACACCAACGGCAAAGGCGCTGCGGACAATGCGAGCTAAACCCCTTAAGCCCCCGAGACCCCAAAAGGAGGTTTCGTGTTTAGGGTTTAGGGTTTAGGGTCTAGGGTCTAGGGTCTAGGGTTTAGAATTTAGGATTTAGGGTTTAGGGTTTCGGGTATGGGGTTTGGGTTTATGGTTTAGGGTTTAGGGTTTAGGGTTTAGGGTTTAGGGTTTAGGGTTTTGGGCTTAGGGTTTAGGGGGTAAGGGGTTTCGGGTTTAGGGTCTGGAGGCCTTGAGAGTCAAGAGATCTGAGGAGAGTGCTCCCATCGGTGACGTCACCACGGAAGGGTTGAACGATGCCTGGCACACTCAAATCCCCAGACTTTTGGGGTTTAGGGTTTAGATTTTAGGTGTTCATTGTTTGCGCCAGGGCTTCTTGCGTAGCCTCAGCACCTGTTATTGGTCCCAATCCTACACCCTAAACCCCACAAACCCTAAGCCTACAAGCCCCAACACCCCGATTCCAATCTCAATTCCAAGCTTGGCCCTCCCTCGACTTCGGCCTCCATTTCAGCTTCCGACGGACAGTCTCAGCAGACCAGGGGAGAGGGGGTTGGGGTTAGGGCTTAGAGTTTAGGGCGTAGGGCTTAGGGTTTAGGACTTAGGGAACTTTTTGGTGGGTGGGGACGGCCAGCACTGGGAAGCGAACAAGATCCATCCGTCGTGTCGATCTCATCCAGGAAATACATCCAGTCTGCAAGACAGGGCTGCACGGAGAGGTGGTGCTTGGGATGTTCCCCCTGATACTCACAGTCCTTAACAGGGATCAGAATAGGGGGAATAGATCCCGATGAAGGACTGCTAGTAGAAGGGGGAACATCAGCAGGTGGGGCTTGCAACAGAAAAACCTATAGCCAAGTGATTTTTCAACCTCAGTTAAACTTCCTGCCCACCCAATGTGGCATTGAAAATCTCAACTGTCAGCTGCCCCCCCCCCCCCCCACCCGGCCCCCCCCTGGGTTCAGGGTTTCGGGTGTCGGGTTCCGGGGTTAAGGGGAGTGTGGGGTTTCAGATCCCAAGGCCCGAAACCCGAAACCCGAAACCCTAAACCCGAAACCCTAAACCCGAAACCCTAAACCCTGAACCCGAAACCCAGGGGGTGAGTTCCGGGCCTTGCTGCAGCCCACAATCGAAGGAATCTTCGTAGGAGTCGTCGTATGATTCGTAGGCGTAGCCTGCAGCTGCAACTCTCCTTCGAACTCGACAGAACACCCCTAAACCCTAAACCCTAAACCCTAAACCCTACTGGTGAGCCCCCAAAGAGGCCCTGAGGCCACGGCCGTACTGCGTGCCAAACTTCTCGTTCATGTCCGAACTGCGAGGCTTCAGATTCAGGGGGGGCGTTGCAGCTCGACATGATGGTACCGATTCTTCGACTACCAAGGGCCTTATGTACATGTGTACATATATGTATATATATATATATCGATACATCTATATATATATATATATACGTATATGTATATGTATATATATATATATGTGCGTAGATATATGTATATATATATATATACATGTGCACATGCGTACTCTGATGTATGTATATTCATTTAGGGTGCGCCCCTGACAAGTGGGACTATGATGTCGAGAACTGCCCAAACGGAAGTTGCTTGACTCTTGAGCCCGGTTTAGGGTTCAGGGTTTAGAGTTTAGGGTCCTAACCCTGAAGGCTAGAAGTCTGGGGCGCAGGCCTCATGATCGGCGTTGTAGGCCAGTACATTGCGTTCAGATCGCTCAGCAACCTGTGAGGAGGTACCCTGAGGCCGCCCTCAACGCAGTCGGAAGAGGGTTTAGGGACGTTTAGGGTTTAGAGTTTAGGGTCTTATGCCACTTTTAAGCCCCAAGAGACTGCTTCCAGGAACCCTATGCAACTCAGACTCAGATCGTGCACTGGCAGAGGCCGGCACACTGCGGGAACGAGGAACAAGGCAACGATGTTCCGAAGGGCAGGCTGCTAGGAACCTTAGCTTAGGACGTGTAGGTTTTAGATGGCATCTTAGGGAGTAGAGTTGACATGATGCAGGGTTGGACTCTTTGAATCCTGTTGGAAGGTTCGATGTTGAGGGCTCAGGAGAGCATTAGGCTCATCACCCAATCTAGGGTCCAAAAACTCTACTTATGTCTTACAAGATACGTCGACCTCTTCAAGGTACTGTGGCCGCCCCTCAGGGGGTTCATGGCTTTGGAGGCGGGGTGTCGGGTTTAGTGCGACATTCAGGCTCCGAATTCGGATTGGGGGGGTGGGGGGGGGGGGGGGGGGGGGGGGGGGGGGGGGGGGGGCGGTTGCAGCTCCACAACCAACCCCCCTGAATTCCTGAAACGTCGTCTCGCCTACCCTTAACCCTAAACCCTAAACCCTAAATCCGCAGCTGTTTGGGCGGAGGGTTTAGGGTTTCAGGTTTAGGGTTTACGGCCCAAAACCATCATAAGGAGAACCCTAAACCCTAAACCCTAAAGCCCAATCAGGGCCAATCCTCCCCCCCTTCCCCTCGTCCAAGTGCGGACTGAGGAACCCGTCTGCGCAGGATAACCACAGCTTGAACAAGAAATGGCTGCGTTTAGGGTTTAGGGTTTCGGATTCATGGTCTGATGTCAGGTTCGCCAGGGTCGTGCAGCGTCGTGGGCAGACTCACGTGGTTGCACAGATCGCTTTAGGACGTTCGGGAGCAGGCCGGCTAAGTGCTCCTACAGAGTCCTGCTGACACGACTGACAGAAGGGCTTAAGGTTTGGGGAAAGCTCGAAATAATTAGGAGCTCCCCCCTCCCCCCCCTCCCCGCCAAATATGCTCCAAATTAGAGGAATCCTTCTCATAGGAACCCCCGAACAAGAAACAAATCCAAAAGCTTGTCGGATGCGCCTTGAAGTTGGTCCTCACTTTTGTCCTCTGAGAAGAGGAGGTTGGTGGACATAGGCCTGCCGCTCGCGACAGTCTGTTAGGAGCCAGGAGTGGGGTTTGACGTTTGGCGCTTGGGGTGTAGAACTTATAGGATTAAGAGGGTTTAGGGCAAAAGTCCTGGTGACATAAACCTTCTTAACAACGACCCAATTAATTCTGCTGCCACGCCTGCCTGTGCATTAATTGGGGCCTCTCAACCCGACTCTCGATCTCGTTCATAGGGTTTAGGGTTTGGGGCCAACCGCTGCGAATGGTGACACAATCCTGTCTGGCTTGTCCTGGCTGTCCTACTTATAACAGCCAAAGAACTTGTATAGCCGCGCCCGTGGGCCAAAGTTCGACTCCCCAACCCTGAAGCCTAGACTTTGGCCCTAAACCCTATATGAACCTTATAAACTCTGAACCCTAAGCCCGTAACCTAAACCCTAAACCCTAAACCCCGAACCCCTAAACCCTAAACCTCAAACCCCAAACCCTAAACCCGAACCAAAGAAGGAACGTGTTCAAGCCTCCTATACTCCCCTTAGAACCTGAATAAACATACTATTCTTCATATCCTCTTGAGTTTTTATATAAAAATATAAAAAATTCCCGAGGGGGATATGGCCTCTGGTGCCGCCCGCGGAAGCAGAAGGTGCCATCCACGATGATGCGAGGCTCCGGGCCGTCGAGGCCCTCAGAAAACAGGAAGCCCAGGAATTGGGGTTTAGGGTTGAGGGTTGAGGGTTTAGGGTTTGGGGGTTAAGGGTTTGGGGTTAAGGGTTTGGGGTTTAGGGTTTGGGGTTTAGAGTTTGGAGGTTTGGGGTTTGGGGTTTAGGGTTTAGGGTTTTGCTACTCCACAGGCCAACGGCTCAACGTGCCGCTGCCATGCCGCACCATGATCTGTGGGCTTTCGTGAGGACTTGCTGAGGTTTGCCGGCCTCGACCTGGAAGCTCGTAGCTGAGTTGAAGAACTGGGAGTTCTGCGCGGCCGATGAAGGATGGTCACACTTGGGGCTTAGGGTTTAGGGCTTAGGGCTTAGGGTTTAGGGCTTAGGGTTTAAGGCTTAGGGCTTAGGGCTTAGGGCCTGGGGTGCCAATAAGAAGGATGATCGTGTTGGGTGGCGTATGCAGGGTTTGGGAAGTACACCAGATGCCGCTCACGGAACGCCAGCACACGCTCGAGAAAGCTCAGCAATACGGCTGAATGTAAGGCTCCATGCTCACCAGGAGTTAGCAGGGTTTAGGACGAACGGACGCTGCCCTACAAAGACTGTTTTTGGGTGCCAGATGATGTCGACGAACACCACAACCCCTAAACCCTAAACCCTATGCGGAGCTGCAACTGGTATTGTAGAAGAGAGTTAGTGTTGAGAGTTGGAAGGGTTAATGAACCCGGAAAACATGTTTGGCTCAAGATGGGCTTGAACAGAAAGCCACAAGTTCAAAAAGTAGTGCCTGGGTTCTTAGGGTTTGGTAAGGGTGTGGATTCCTTCCCCCTTTCCTTCCCCCCTGGGTTGCTCTTATCCGTGTTCTCGTTTGCTTCTTGGTTCGATCTGGGGAATATAGGTTCAGGGCGATTAGGGGAGTTGATTTCCTTCCCTGGTTGTTCCCCCGTAGGTTATGAGCCCAAATTAGGTTCCCTGCGGTTAAGTGTTCTTTCAAGGTTTTTGGGATCAAGAAGCAATGCCTTCTCCCAAACGATGGCTCCAGCCTTCCTCGGATGGTGGACAGAATGGTGGAGCTGGAAACGGTGCAGCTGAGTCTCTGGGTGAAAGGACGGTGCTGGAAGAGGTGATGCCTGGCGCTGAAGAACATCTGGAAGAAGCCTTGGTTGCAGAATACTCCAATGTGGGTATAAATCCCAATGTGGATATGGTTAGCAATGCTGAAGCTGAAGGACGTGCTGTTTCTGTATCGCCAAAGCCTGGTGAAAAAAGGAGCTGGGACGCGACTGGTGGTATAGACCGTGAAATGGAGGTGACTGTTTTACGCGTGTTGCACAAACATGGGTATCAGCCGTCTACTTCGACTTCGGGCCGAATGATAGACCAAGGGTCTCAGACCAATCTGAGTGGAGAAGTGCTGCAAGCTGCCAGGAGGCCTCTGAACAAGATTAAAGGGGATCCCTCGGCGAGTTCCCTGGGTGGTGGAAGCGGTTACGAACAGAAGGGTGCGGACAGCTTTGAAGCCGCGCCAACTGCTGAATATGCCATGGGGGAAGAGGAGATCTTACAGATGGAGGCTGAAAGGTTGCGCCAGTTGTCAGAAGAAGAGGATGAGATGCGTCAAGTCTCTGAAAGGGATGGTTTTCGGAAAGATGAGCATCTGATCGAAGCGTGCGATGGGACAACGTGGGAATGGCACTTCCACGAAGATGGGAGACAGTATTACTACTGCCTGGATACGCAGGAAAGCAAGTGGACGCTGCCGGATGTAGGGGAAAAGGTGAAAAGCGACAACGTGGTTGGGTCTCCTTCGGGCAATGGGCTGGAAGTGGAGACTGAACTGGGTCCTTCATCGACTACACCGACACCTGAGTCTACGAAGGCAATCCAGGGTAGTGTAAATAGTGTAGGTGAAAAAGATTTTTCCTCTACTATCAGGGATAGCGGTCCTAGGGCTGGTGGTGACGCCCCGACCTCGGGTTCTCCTGATGAGAGGGGATTTCTGGAAACCGAGCAGACATCGCTGAAGCTCAACATCTGGATCGGGAAGAGATGGAGGCGCTTTCTGAGGGTGTGGCAGCGGTGGAATCGGTGGGTCCAGAAGAAAAAATGCCCAATGTGGAGATCGGAATTGTGTCGGCTGCAGAAGAGCGAGTGGTGGATGTGGTGCCTGTCGTTCAGGAAGATGGCCCTGGAGATTTGGATGACGAAGGGCATTACGACTGAGGAGGTCTCTTCGTTTGGTGCCGAGAATTCTGCCATTCAAAGGGAAAAGGAAACTTCTGAAACTGCTGGAGACACGGGTGATCGGAAAGATGAGGCCTGGAGCGCCAATGAAGCGCGGGTCAACGCGCCAGATAGTACCTGGAGTGCAGAAAAAGCACGGGTTGAGGCGCATATGGTGTCACGTTCCGCGGATGACTGCAACAATGGGGCGCAGGTCTCTGTAGCAGCTGACGATGGAGCATCTCAGGTGGACGCACTGGTGCAGCCTGAAGTTAGCAGCGAGGAACGAAATGGCGAAGGCTACACCGGAGCCAATGAGGCAGCTGTGGTCAGCAACAGTGGTGATTCTCTTTTGGAAACCATGGAGCCAAAGGAGCCTGCGGTGGAAGAAAATGTGCCTACCGCGGATGACCAATCCAATAGCCCTGTAGTGGAAGAAAATTTGCCTGCTGCAGAAGGTTTGAAAAAGGACTCCAATGGTGGGTCCACTCCCAGGAAGGGAGAGGTGTTGCCATCTGAAAGCTCGCCGGAAGTCGACACCGAGCGAACTGTAATGGATGAGGCAAAGCCATTGGCTGGAAAAAAGGAAGATCCTGAGCCCTTGGAGCACAAGATGGATGATCTTGTGGGACTCACGTCGGAGCAGGACGAGCAGTGTGACCCAAAGGTGGAAATAAAGGATGTGTCAGGAGCCGATGATACGGAGATGGTTTCTGAAGGGCATGCAAAGAGAGTGCCTCGAGCGGGAGCTTTGGAATCACCTGGGGAACATTGCTATCAGGAGGGAGATGAGATCATTGGTCTAGTGCGCTGCATCAATGGGTATGGAGCCTTTTTGGACCATGGTGATATGAATGTATTGGTTCCTGCAGAAGGGAACAATGTACATCAGTTCAAATTTGGTGATACTGTCAATGGAACAGTGAAACGAGTGGAAGATGATGGTACCATAATCTTGGACACCTTTCTGGTTTTGGAAGAGGACGAGGAGGATTCCTCTTCAACGCTGCGCAAATGGAAAGACAGCGGCTGGGGTACATGGTGGACAGGCTCATGGCAGACTGGTCAATGGTACAAAGGTTCCGATGGTCAATGGGACTGGAAGTCGGAAGAACAGCAGTCTCGCGAGTGGTTTGCCGAGTCAAAAGCATCCTCTAAGGAACAAGAGGAGGCTGAGCAGAAACAGCTCTATGGAGAAAAGATCTATCGAAATCTCCTGGAAGATGAAACAATAGATAATGACTATGTGGGCAAAATCACTGGGATGTTGCTGAGTCGTCCAATGGACGTGATTATGGAGTGTATCGCAGATCATACATTCCTGAACGTTGAGGCTCGGAGCGCATACAACATCTTGCTAAGTGATGGTTGGAAGCCTGAGGAGACAGACCGTGCAGGTTCGGAAAAAACAACCACTTTTTCCCGGAAGCAGTACCACAACGCGCTCTACGAACTGGCACGCAAGAAAAGAAGATTTAGTGGACCAGTCGTGGGTGAAACGGTGGCAATGTTGCTGAGCAAAGGGAAAGATGAGCTTTGGAACGAGCTGTGGTTGGATACCAAGCGATTTCTGCAAGAGCTTGATGGTGCAATCGAGGAGATGAGTAAGAGGGAAAACAGGCCAATGGAAGCCTACATGGATCCTGATCAGTACAAAAAGGCTCACACGACTCCGAAGACTGTGTCACCTGGATACAGCAAGCTGTGCAAGTTCTTCAATCAAGGGAGGTGTCGAAATGGAGATGGGTGTTCCTATGAACATCGTCGTTATGGTGAAGGGTGGCCTGAAGGAGAGCCAACTGAGCCAAAGAACAGCCAAAAAACTGGTGACGAGGATGGGGACATCGGTGGCCCTCCAACTGATGAAGGTACAGTGGATGAGGTGCAGCAGGAGCGGGAGGATTCGGCCTTCCGTGCCCAGTACAACTATGGCAAAGGGACATCAAAAGGTGAGCCTACGCTGGGTGAAACGAAGAAACGGCTGTGTCTGTATTACAATCAAGGTGGTTGTAAATATGGGACTGCGTGCAGGTATCTCCACGACGACGACATGGCATTGGAAGGGACTTGGGAGCCTGGCAAATCTTGGGACAATGCTTCCAGGAAGGCACTAAGGGACGCGGGGTTCCACCATTGCTGTTTCGACTATTATCTCAAAGGGAGATGTCGTGTGCGATTTGGCTGCAAGTATTCTCACGAAGAGATGTCTGAAGACCGGCTGACCCAGTTGAAGCATTTGGTGAATGTGGCAAACCATGTGTCATTTCAAAGGGGAAGGGGATTGGAGATTCCCGACAGGAACGCTTTTCAACCACCGGTAAGTGGGGGAGCAGAATCTTCGTCCTCCTCAGCACCAAAAGCGCTGCAAATGACCAATGTGTCACAAAAAGATGGTGAAAAGGGTATTCTGGATGAAGAAGAAGCTGATGAACAAAAGAATTCGGTGGCTGAGTCCACTGGTACTCTGCTTCAAGATCCAGAGGAGCCAATTGAAAATTGGATGGCTCGCAATAACCACCTTTGGGTGTATACCCCTCATGTAAGTGAGGTGATGATTACTCTTGGTGTGAACACCGTGTCGGACCTGCAGGAGTTCATCTTTGTGGAAGATCTGCTTGAAAAAGGGATCAACAAGGTGACAGCATGCAAAATCCTACGATTGGTGGGAGGCGTCCGATATCGACCGGAGGGACCGGAAAGAGCAGTTCCTTCCGATGCATCTGTACGGGTACAACAATCTTCTGGAAGCAAGGAAGCTGGAAGAGAGGCGGTGAGAACCCTCACTCAGATGCGTGAAGCTGAAGGCTCCGGTGCAAAAACGATGCCGAGAGGCTCCTATCGGGAGCTTTTTGATAAGGTCAAGTACCGTGACGCTTGGACGCTTGCGCAGAGGTCTCCACTGTGCGTACAGAAGCTGAAGTTGGTGGGAGTTGGAATGCCACCGGTGAACCCACCAACAAAAAAGTATCGGTCAATATCAAACCCTGTGAAAAGGGGAAGGCCCTTGCTGGACAAAAAACAGGTGCGACAGGTGCCACGCTCTCGTTCACAGCGACGAGCGCAGCCGGCGGAAGCGGTGGAGAAACCAAAACCACTGGAACTGAAGCCTCGTGGTGGGTTGTCGTATCGGTTCAGCAGAGCGTGGGCAGATGTGGTGGACGATGATGATCAGGCGGAGGCTTTGGTTTCTTATGCCGATTCCTCAAGCGATTCAAGCGAGGAAGAGACCAATGCTGTGCAACGCATGCGGGAAATCCTTTTGCAAGAAAGGGATTCACAGAGAACTGCGATTCGTGGCAATGTTCCGATGGGTGGTTCTTCCGGCCCCAATGACGGGCAGAAAAAATCGGTTCACCTTGGCGAAGAACGCGACAAAGCGTCGCGGGGGGAGACCCGCCAAGAAGTGACTTCTCAAGTTTTTTCGCTACCACAACCTTCTCGTCGAACTGAACAGTCTCAAAAAAGAGCAAGGGATGGCTCAGTTATAGTTGGTTCGCTGGCGGTGGGCTCCACGGATGAGGTTTCACCTGGGAAAGGTGTTGCTGGACAGGTGAATGTATCTGAAGGCGCTCAAGTTCTTCCTGGGCAAGAAGTGGCTGGACAGGAGACGGCGCTGGAAGGAGCAGTGCAAATTCCTGGCGAGGAGACTGACCAAAACGAAGGAGAAGGTGGGAGCAATGAACTCCGTGGTGATGGTGCGAAGACATTGGATGTTCGTCCGGTGAAGGATGTTCCTCAGCACTTGCTGGTTAAAGGTCTTCTGAATCGGATTTATTGGAAGGTTGCTGTCGGCAAGTTGCCTGTGGGGCACAAGGACTATCAGAAGGGATCCAATAAAATGGATCGAAACTTGGTTATTAGCATGTCATCTGAAGGTGCAAGCGAACAGGATTTGAACCTGGCATTGGAAGATGATACTGATCAGAGAATGGATGATGGTGCATTGGTGGTCATGGCATATGACCCTGGTACACTGATTCAGTCGGCGACAACTATGTGGGTTATGCGTCGTGGGTTGGCAGATCGTGCTCTCTGGTCGGCAATAGCGACTGCGGCACAGAGAATATGTGCTGAAATGGTTCAAGTGGATGAACTGAATGCCCAGTTGAATACTGGGAGACTCCTTTTTGAAAGGAGAGATCAAGGACACTACGGTGATTTGCATCATTCGTTCCATGAAGATCCGTGCTTGCCGGTGGTGGGAAATTATCCTCTTTCGGTGATGGGTGCACTGCTTTCTCCTGGCCTGGAAAAGGAATTCAGAAATACTGAAAAGTTTGGAACTGCTATGGAGGCAATAGCCTATGATTGGAGTCGCAGTCCAGGCATGGAAGTTCATGTGGAACTTATGGCAAGGGTAGCCAATCTGGTCGCTCCATTCCTTAGACTAGGAGGCCAAGGGACAGTGGTGAATTCCGAATTTCTCTGGCAGCACGGGAGGGACCAAATGATGGAGTTCCTTCAGGCGGCGACCTGCGCTGATCAATTGGAGGTTCTCTGGAGAAGAATGGACGACGATGCTGATGAGGAAGTGGATCCTACAGGAATGGTGCTGGAGATCCCCGATCAACAAGATGCGGTACTAGATCAAGGGAACAATGAATCCCTTATTCCCATTGAAGATGCTGGAGGTGAGACACTTGGTGACACTGGAAGGGATGGCAAAGCGCCAGAAGTCTCTCCGGAAGAGGAGACATCCAGTGGGTCGTCAAGACTGGCGGGCACAAGGATTTTCTTGTGGTCAGTGTACTCTCGCGTTGCTTCCAATTTCTCTACGCAGGACCGCACTACTGGTAAGATCTTTGACAGCACAAAGGGGTATCCTGGTGAAGGACCAAACAATGGTGACAATCCTTCCTCTAAGAGGAACTTACCCTGGATCTCTGAAGACTACCTCGACGAAGTGGTGTCAAAAAAGATGGAAAGGTCTTCAGATATGGATGGGTTGGATGGGTTTGTTCCGGGAAGTGAGGGATCGTTGGAAAAGGTAGAGGTGGAGAATGTTACTGCCTCTAAAATTCTTATGGCTCTTTGGAAAAAGGGATATAGAGCTGGGTATAGGAGGTTGTGTCGTTTGAACGTATCTGGATGCAAGGTTGGAGCAATGAAGCGTCCAATCAAAAGGGTGCAGAAGATCGGCACTAGGAAAGCCTTCATGAAGAAGTTCAATGTTTTTGGATCGTCTCAGCGTGGCTCAGGAGCTGGCGGAAAACCAATCATGAAGGTGGTAGGACCAAGGCCAGGTTTTCCAGCTGTACTCCAAGCATCAAATACTGATAGCACCTGGGGTGAAGGGAGCAGTTCTCAGGCACATGGCAATGTTCATGTAGAGCAGAATCGCCCTATGGACCGGTTCGAGGCGGAGCGCTTGGAGAAGAGGAAGAAAGGCTTCTGCTATTGGTTCAGTAAGGGAAAAGATCGCTGCAAATTTGGTGAAGACTGCAAATTCATCCATTCAGAAGATGATGTGGTGCTGCATTCGTATTGGTGCAAATACTATGTGGCGGGGAGACCCTGTTTCGCTGGAAAGAAGTGTGCGTTCTCGCATGATGCAACTGGTGTGAGGTGCATTCAGTTTGCTCAGTCTGGGAAGTGTCGTTATGGTGACAGGTGTGTTTTTGAGCATGGTGATCCGCTGAATGAACAGAGGCCAAGGTCTCCGAGGACGCCCCCAAGGGATGGTCCAAGGAGAAGTTCTGGTGCAAAAGGTGGGGAAGAGGAGATCTCTCCTGAACAGTTCGATGATGGTGAGGAGTATTCCATGACTTATGACGATGACACCAAAATGTCGCAACTGTTGATGGAAGCGATTTCATTTCTGTCGAATGGCAAAACAGATTTGGCTCGAGCAGAGGCGGATCCACTGTTCAAACTCCTGAAGTTCAATGGAGATGCTGACCAGATGGATAGAGAATGGGTTTCGTGGACCACCGATATGTTGTCCGTGCTGGAACTTCACGAAGTAGTGAAGTCGTATGAGGTTTCGCTCGAGGAGGTGGAAGAATGGGTCAATGACCTGAGGATATGGTTCGAGCGAGCCAACGTGGAAGAAGAAAAAGATCCCAAAAGGGGCAAGAAGAGGTCCCTAGAAAGGGAGTCCAGCAAGGATATTCCTGCCGAAAAGGAGGTGGTTGAGACTTCTGAGACGGAGGTTGCCGTTGAGGAGGAGGCAAAAAAGGTTAAAAAGAAGAGGAAAACTGCAGTTATCGAAGATCCTTACACTCTCCTGGTTCCAAAGCCGAAGAAGATGCCGGCGACCATTGAGAAGAGTGGATCATCATCCAATGCGGCGGTTTCTGCAGGGGAAAAAGCCTCGAAAATGCGCACAAAGTCAAACGTCGGTGGAAAGGCGAAGAAGAAGGAGAAAAGTCAGAGTCCCAAAAAGGGAGAAGTGGTGGTGGTGAAAGGTCCTGAGGAAAAGGATCGTCCTTCTGATGTGGATGCGCAAGCGTCTACAGCTGTGAGTGCAGAGCTGGGTCAATCTTGCCAAGCGATTGAGGACGCAAAGAGAGAAGGATTGGTATCCTCAATTCAAAGGTGTGTGCAGGATCCTGTTCTTGCAGTTTCGGACCTGGAGTATATTCTGCTGCAACTTCACCTCAGTATTGCAAACCATCAGAAGAAGAAGTGACTGGATGGTATGGATGAAGGGATGGTTTTTCTCTTTCTGGAGACAGGTGCGCTGGATCGGCCAATGTGCTGAAAATGTGGTGGTTGCTATTAAGGGTATGGAAATCCCTGATAGTAGAAGTTAGTAGCTTTTCACGTAGCGAAGACCACGGTTTGTGGTGAAGAAGGCCGAAGAGTCTTCAATGATAAGAGGATCAAGGTGGAAAAAAGATTCTCTATGGTTAGTGGATTCAGCCAATGTGCTATAATTTCGTCCTGGTAGACGTAAAACCATATTGTGCATTTCAAGCAGCTGGCTGCTGCCCTAATGGCAGTTTTTGGCCAAAGATCTGCACCTCCAATGTGTCCTAGGAAATCCTAGGACAGGGGGAGTGCGGAGCTGCAACTGGTATTGTAGAAAAGAGTTAGTGTTGAGAGTTGGAAGGGTTAATGAACCCGGAAAACATGTTTGGCTCAAGATGGGCTTGAACAGAAAGCCACAAGTTCAAAAAGTAGTGCCTGGGTTCTTAGGGTTTGGTAAGGGTGTGGATTCCTTCCCCCTTTCCTTCCCCCCTGGGTTGCTCTTATCCGTGTTCTCGTTTGTTTCTTGGTTCGATCTGGGGAATATAGGTTCAGGGCGATTAGGGGAGTTGATTTCCTTCCCTGGTTGTTCCCCCGTACCCTAAACCCCTCAACCCTCAACCCTAAAGCCCTGTTCTCTTGTGCTCGGGAAAGACGGTCGTGCGGAAGCCGAGAACCCATGCGGCCTCCAGCTGTGGAAATCTGCCAAGAACCAAGACCTGCCACCCGCAGGTGATAGGGTTTTGGGGTTTAGGGTTTTAGGGTGCACCTGAAGAACCCAAAACCTAGTCGTTGTTGCTTACCGAAGAACCCTCGGAAGGGTTTTAAAGTGATAACCTGCAAAAAAGTACAGGTATTGGGTTCTCAAGGTAGGATTTAGTCTAAGGTTGCAAGTATGGGCCCTTACCTTGGGTCCCTTGCTTTGTAACCAGAGTTTTTTGGGGCATATTCGGAGCACCCGTAATTTGGGAAGTACCCACGCGGCATCGTGGGTAGCAAAGTGCAGAACCTGGTGCGAGTCCCCTAGATCTTGTCATCGCCCTCGCGACTTGAGAGGGCGGTGCAACAAGATGCTGCAGCATCATAAACCCCCAGCCCTGAACCCTGAACCCTAAACCCTAAGCCCTAAACCCTAAACCCTAAACCCCTACACGCTGTCAGGCTTGAAGCCCCCAAACCCTAAACAGCCTCTGTGCCAGGCGGTAGATTGGCCCAGCTTGCCATGGGCACCCAGGCTGGATGCCCCAGGCATGGAGCTGGGACCCGGCACATCCACTTCGAGGGTTCTTAAGGGAGGGGGGGCCTCAAGGGGGGTATCTAACCCGAGGTTCCCCAAAACTCCCCACTGCTAAGTAAGGCTGCCCAAGCTTTCAGCCCAACTCAAGCCCTACCGTGGTATGCTGAGCCAAGAGCAGCACAGTTGGAAAACCCAGCGCTGCATCCCCTGATATCGCACAGGGTCTGCTCTTTCAGGAACCAATAATCTTCCTTCTCGCTGTGTTTTTTTTCGCTTGCATTCGTCACTGTACCTCTGCAGTTCTGCAGGGCTCAAATGCCAGCAAAGTGCGCACGGTGCCATGAGACGTGAGGGCCTTGGTTCCGCAAGGCTGTGTTGGTTGCCCACTGAGTCACTGGGAAAACCTTGGGCACCAAAGGAACCCTAAATTTGGGATCTTAATTACCCTAAAGGCACCACATGAACCCTAAATCTGGGATCATAATTCAGAATTTCCCTAAAAAACTCTGTACTCCCTCTAGCTTATGAACCCTAACCCCTTTGGGGTCCCCAAGGAACTCAACCGATGCCATCTAAGTTCGCCACCTGTTGCAACTCTGACCCGCGAGCCACGCGCTGTAGGCTGGAGCAAACGCAGCCTGCTGCACAGGGTCACTGCAACTTCGTTCAGTATGTCACGGCACCAGACGTTGCACGGCTTGCGACGCAGAAAGTTCACTTTAACAATACCTGGACTCTGCCAAAGAACGAGGCGGGGGGGGGGCGTTAGGGTTTAGGGTTTAGGGTTTAGGGTTTAGGGTTTAGAGTTTAGGGTTTAGGGTTTAGGGTTTAGGGTTTTGGGGGGGGGGGGGGGGGGGGGGTTGGGGAGGGATACCAACCCGAAGCGGGACTCGGGCGTCTTGCAGGAAATGCCTTCGCAGATCAGAGGGTTGGAGTTTTTGGGATCTAGGGGCCACACACCACCGGTAGGAGGGCATCTTCTCAAGCCGCTACGAAAAAGACAACAAAGCCAACCTAAGCACCTACACTTTTTGTTGCGTGATCCTGATGTTGCCAGCTACACATCTTGCCGCTTCACTTCCAGTCGCGCAAAAACTCCCAACTTTTCGTGGGGACCCGGAAATGCTTTAATTTTAACAACTGTGTTACACTTTTCTTACGGCCGCCAGGTGGCAGTGGCAGCCTGCAAAAGACGGTCGCAAGACCATGTTTTGTTAGCTTCACCGATTAAACCCTAAACCCTAAACCCTAAACCCTAAACCCTAAACCCCAAATGGCCTTTGGGCAGGCGTACTTGCATGGCCGACATGGGCTCGTCAGGCTCCTCGCCGCCCCGGGCGTCGCCGGGGAAGGCCTCTGTGCCGGACCAAACCTTGGTCTGCCCGACGAAGGGTTTAGGGTTTAGGGTTTAGGGTTTAGGGTTTAGGGTTTAGGGTTTAGGGTTTAGGGTTTAGGGTTTAGGGTTTAGGGTTTAGGGTTTAGGGTTTAGCTTCTACTTTGGGATGTTTCCCCCCCCCCCCCCCTTGTACAAGCAGTCCTTAGTAGGGATTAGAATTGGGGGTACGAGTAACTTGACTTGAATAATGTCCGGCGTTCCCCATCTGAGGGCATATGGAGGTTTCCGAAATGAGGGGGTGCCTTATTGGGGTCCTTAATATGAGGGAATCCCAGTATTTGGCGGAGTCGATTCGGGTTCCCTTCTTTTCGTAAACCCCAATGCGCCTTTTGCTACTATTTCTTAAGAGCCCCTCAAGAAATGAAAGATAAGAACCATTATATTGCCCTTATAAGGAAGGAACAGTTTTTTTTTTGCACGGCTGTGGGGGGGGGGGGGGGGGAGTTCTTAAGCAAATAGTAGTAGAGGAAAATATGGTTCAGGGCTCAGGGGTTTACAGCCCAAGCACTCTTATGCTAGGGCTGTTGGGCCCAAAGGTTCTTGCTTCAGGTTCTTGGGCTCTTGAGCCGAAGGGATATGTACGGTTTAGGGTTTCACTAGACAAGGGATCTGACTATATCAAGGACTCTAAACCCTAAACCCTAAACCCTAAACCCTAAACCTTAAACCCTAAACCCTAAACCCTAAACCCTAAACCATCCGAGAGGCCAAGACGTGTGCCCAGGCGCTCTCGGGCAAGCTTTGGCCCAGCCGAAGCTCGAGGAACAGGGCACACTCAACACCCCCCTGTCCTTGGTAGGGTTTAGGGTTTAGGGTTCAGGGTTCAGGGTTCAGGGTTTAGGGTTACTTTAGAAGGGAACCTTGAACCCACAAAAAGGGGCAAGAGGATACCACTGGCCCTCGCAAGTGTCGGGTCATCAGTGGTTGCACGGATAACTCCAGATGCAGAGCCCGCACGCCCAGGAATGACTGGAAAGTACCTTCCTGGGTTTGCCTTTAAACCCTTAAACCCTTAAACCCTAAACCCTAAACCCTACACCCTTATATTTATATATAGGGTCCCTTATAAGCCCAAATAAGGGAAATAAGAAATGTCCCAAAAAGCAACCCAGCTTCGTACTGATTTGATTTGGCCGGAGGTGGTGGCGGGCTCCATGCATTCGCAGTGCCCAAGACCTTTTGAACTTCTGCCGGCTGGAATGCAAACTCCAAGAGATGAACTCGAAGACCGTGGCAGGACTTTAAGAAGCCGTCCGTGATCCTCTCCAGCCGGGATGCCCCGTCCAAACCGTGAATGGGCCATAGCCAATTCGCAGGCGACGTCACTGCGTGAAGCTTGCCATAGAACCGCTTCAATCGTCGGTGGATCTCGGCTGAAAGGAGGAAGCTACTGCTCTCCATCACACAAAGGCCACGCTGGACAGCTGCTCGGCGCCAAGGTGCTTCCTGCAGACTCACGGAATTATGGTGGGGCACCGTGATTGACATGGCCAAGATACCATTCAACAGATCTGCCTGCACAACTTCATTCTACCAGTGCATGTGCAGAGCTACTCTAGTCACGTACTGCTCTCTTCCCCAGCGGTTCTTACCAAGCTGCTTCTGGATTGGCCGAGGTGGCATGGAAGGCATCTTGAACGAACCGCGCGCACACCTCCAGATTGCAAAGGCCGGCCGCGTCCACAAAAGCAGCGGTGCGACCCAGCAGGCCGATCTCGAAGGCCAATGATAAGGACCTAACTTGGCCCTTCAAACCATCTGACAAATATTTCGGCACATGAATATGATCCTCTTAAAAAACCCCTCAAAAAAAAGAAAGCACCGGAACGTATCCCCCAAGGGGATCTACCCAGGGACTGGCAGCTGCAAATTTTCTCAGCATTGCCCACTTCTTCCGCCCCTTGACTGGCAGTCCGAATTCCGGAAACGGGCATCATGGCGGCAAGCGCAGCAACGGCATGTCGGAAATCTGTGGAAGCAGCGGCTGTGGTTATGCGGGGCTCTGATGCAGGATTGAGTTCGCAGGATGTCAACAATGAGTTGTGATGACAAATGCGAGGATCATACTCTTGCTGTTTGCAAGTGTCAAGTCGCTAGACTCAGCGAGAACGAACCTCGTGGCAGGAAGGAATACTTCTGCAGCTTTTTGTTGGCTGGTTCACCCTGTCCCGGATTTAGGCTGTGGGCGCGTGGCATCAGAGATTTTCATGGGATCGGTCCGTTTGTGATAAGGGCCCTAGCGGCGGAACATAATATGCCACCGCAATCACCCTAAACCCTTAACCCTAAACCCTAAACCCTAAACCCTCAACCCTCAACCCTAAACCCTAAACCCACACTTCGGTGGAGGGGCGCTTCGGCCGGTGGTGTGCCATCGATTCAGGGCCCAAGCTCCGCTCTGCAAAATTCGGCAAACCGGGTTGGGAACCTGGGTGACAGCATCTTCGTGGGTTTAGGGTTTAGGGTTTAGGGTTTAGGGTTTAGGGTTTAGGGTTTAGGGGTGGGGCTTTCTGACCCTTGCGATGTCTTGTCCGTCGCTGCCGTGGCTGCAAGATCCAGCAAGCCACAGACGGGCGATTGCAATATGGAATGTGGCTCTTAATGAGCATTTGGTGAGGGTTTTGCGGTTGGCCGGCCCACGCAGGTGACCCTCTGATGCGGTTCGAAAGGGGCTTCCCAAAGGGTTTCATTGTTGACGCGGCCCACTGGCGAAGCCTGCTGGTGGAGGTCCTTTGGCCCAAGGCCCATCTCACTTGTCCAGAAAAGGGGCTCCAAGGGCTTCCCTTTTCACAGCTGGTGGGCCCCGCTGACAGGCTTTGGCTGCACGAGGCCCCGCGGCAGGAAAGCAAAGGTTTCACGGCTGACTGGCCCTAAGGGCCCCCCAGTGCGCTGGGGGGTCCGCTGACATTTTGCAACGGGTTGCGCGAGCGAAGTTCCATCTCACGGATCTTACACAAAGGCTCGACGGGCGACGGGGGCCTCCCGGTACATGTTGCATTGTTGGCCGGCCCAGCTTGGTCAGGGACTCGTCTAACTGCACATTCTACGTGATGTGCTTCAACATCCTAGAAATTGAGCCCCTCAGCCTACCGGTCGCAATACTGCGGATCTACCATAAAGCCAGCCTCCTTGACCCCATGCAATTCGAAAGCCCCAACAAATACTGAGAGCAATGCCTTATCTTCTTTTACCCTGCACGTGAAAGAAAAAACATTCCGAGAAGGCTGACCGAAACCCTAATCTCGCACTCAAAAACTTCTTCCATCGGACCAAGAACTCTGAACCGGTCTGGGAATGCGCAACGCGCCCCCTCCCAACATCATACTCTGGCGTGCAGTTGCAGGGCAGCCTCAAACTGAACCACCTAGAAAATGTTGGCCGTTTCTCATGAGGGCTTCGATGGTCACACTCGCACAAAACTAGGCAAGATAGTGCGCTTTTGCCGATGGTTTAGGTCCAGGTCAAAGGCCGACATCTCAGGCCACTTTCAAGAACATCCAGACAGCTCTCCACTCCGAAAGCCTTCGGCTGACAGTGTGAGGCCTGGAATTTAGAACATGGAGTTGCTTTATATCACAACTGCTGCCTGGTAGCTTTGCTACCCTTGCTGGAGTTCTGCCAGCTCGCAGCTGGCGCATCGGTCTCCTCCGCACTTGAATTGCGGTCCATGCTCGAGGCGCCCAAAACCCGTGGATCTGGCTCCTTCTGCAGGCTTGTCTGTGCTTGCTGGGGCTCCGCCCCAATGGAAATGGAAGCACAGCGGAACAGCAGCCAGGTTAGCAAGAAGACAAGCACCGTGAAGAGGAGCATGTCAAGCTGGCCAACGTAGGGGCCGTCGATCATGGAAGCGGATACATCCTCCAACACCAGCATGACTGCAAAGAGTGTCACCACAACTAGAAGGATCAAGCAGTTGATGCATACGTCGCCGAACATCCTCGCGCATTTGGATTGGCCCACTTGCCTCCGCAGCACACAAGATAGCTTCGAGGCTGTGAAGAAAAGTATAGGAATAAGGCCAAAAGCCCAAAGCGGTCCTCGGATGACCTCCTTTAGGGAGCCGGAAATTCGACCGTGCATCCGCGCTGGCTCCCGCAGGTTGAGCGGGTGTCCAGGCCAGGGTCGCAGGATAAAGTCCCATCTTTCACAAAAAGAATCCAATTGAAACCACAGAATCGGCACAGCCATGAACACAAACTCCTTGTAGGTCAACACATGGGACGAAAGCTGGGTGGTCAGGCAGGCTAGGACTTGTGTTCGCACAATGTTGTCAAAGTCCTCGATGCTGCCAAACCAACTGCGTATGCAGGAGAGAATGATTCGCCGATCACAAACCTCCGTCCTGCTGCCGTCCGGAGACCTATGGCCAGAAGTACAGCAATGACACAAGCAGTCTTCACATCGAAACTCTTGCAACTCCTGCTGCAAAGCCTCAACGGACCGGAAGAACTCACGAAGCTTGGCCACGCTCCAATAGAATGCCAGAAAACCGAGTGCCGCCATGATTGGCCACAGAGTACGTACATCTGCAAGGCGCTGTGGAATGAATCCCACGGCCAACAGCATGCAGCACAACGACGCAAACACCAAGACGAAGCTGGGGCCCAACATCGTAGGCCGGACTCTTACACGTGCTTCCTGCCCGCCTGAGCGCGAGTGCAAGAAGGCGGCAATCTCGAAACAACACCTCAGCTGCGAAATGCCCAATGTGTTCGAACCATGGCAGGTAATAAACAGGCACCGTGCTGATTGTGGGTACGTGTATATATGCTGAAGTCTATAAAGCTTTCACGTGCACCTATTCAGCCGGCAAGGCACCACAGGCGCTTTGTGTAGGAGGGATCCCAAAGCACCAGCAAGGAATCTGACGCCTTGAGGAATGCCGGCATGCTGAACAATGCCGCAGCTTTCATTGCATTGTCATACTGGTTAATGCAGAGAATGTCTAGGAAAATTGTTTTTCTCGGCTGCCAGAGGAAAAGAAGTATGGCATAGGAAAACAAGCCGACCGCCTTCCCCCAGTAAGGCGCCACAGGATACCCGGGCTCCCCCTCTTGGAACCTCATAGGTAGTATGCCTGCTACAAACAGGGCCGCTGCAACAATCGCGCATAGTGTGGCTATCAGAGGTGCGGCTCGCCCGTTGCACAAGAAAGCAGCTGTCACGATTTTGTTCCGTGTGTTGCCATGCCAACTATGGCTCCAAAACTCGTCAATCTGGACCGTTGGAAAGCTCAGGCGGAAAGACCCTCGAGTTCGTTTGCGGAAAGCGCGCCCGCAGCACTTCAGCGCGCTTCCAGCACGCACGGCTCGGATGATGTCTGGCCTGACTGGTCTCAGGGAGACCAGAACTTGAGCCAGCGTCTCCTCCAGGGCATGTTCCCTCTGCATTTCAGATCCTAGGATGGTCCTCAAAACCCTCTGAAACATGTTGGCAAATACAATCCTCTTGTATATAAACCAAATAGGCAAAAACAAAAATGTCCCAAGGGCCCACCTAGGATCTGACCTCGTCCGAAGCTGCTTCAACGCCCGACTGACCACATCCACCATCGGAGGAACCAGAGGATTGCCGTTGCGTTGCAGGATTGGCACCGTCTGATGATCCCGTCGCACTTTCGCGGTCCGAGCCACCGTTTCCACGATCGTCCTCCATTAGCCGTGCCTCTATCTGAAAAACCCTAAACCCTAAACCTGATGGACTCTCGAGGAGCAGTGCTGCTTGTAGCAAAACCTCGTGGTACGCTGCCGCGAAAGGTTGCTTGGGCCACAATGATTGAGGTAACATGAACCCTGAACCCGAAACACTGTACTACTATAGTCCCGATTAAGGTAACGTGAACCATACAACCCTTAGACCCAAAACCCTATTCCCTAAACCCTGTACTACCAAACTCCCTATTAAGGTAATATGAACCAAAAACCCTTTTGGCCTTTAGCGTTTAGGGTTTAGGGTTTAGGGCCCGTCCTGCTCGTGGTGAGATGGTTTCATTGTTGGCGGCCAGGGACTTGTATAACTGTACAGACTCGCATAACTGTACATTCTACGTGATGTGTGGGCTTCGAAAATGCCAGTCCACCAGCCTCTTTCTTCAAGGTTCATCTACGAGAGAAAAAAAAACAGTGAAGCCGGAAACTTTAGCTTCAACATCCTAGAAATTGAGCTCCTCAGCCTACCGGTCGCAATACTGCGGACCTACCATAAAGCCAGCCTCCTTGACCCCACGCAATTCTTCTTCCACCCTGCACGTGAAAGCAAAAAACTTGGGGGTGAGGGCCTGGGACGAAAGCTAGTTAAGGTATCCCGACGGAAGAGCATTCACCAGGAACGAAGGCGTGCAGCCGAGCAGGCGCACGCAAAGTCAGCAGGCAGAGTGCAAGAACGGTCGGAAATCGGCTAGCATAAGGAGTCCAGAGGAACCGTACAGGGGGAAGGCCCATCGTTCCCTTCCTACTAAATGGTCCACAGAAAACGGTGTTCATTGCACCAATATACAAAAGAAGTGAACACCAGCCCGTTTCCCCAAAACATGCGTTTGGGCACCGGAAATCGACCGGGTTTGCTGCTTTTCATGGCGGAGCCTCCGGGGGCCCTGTATACCCATCTGGTTGTAAGCTTCGCCTAGGTAAGATACTCAGCTAGCTCCTCAGAGGCTAGCTTTCGTGACATTCCGCAAACGCTGACCGAAACCCTAACCCTGCACTCGAAAACTTCTTCTATCGGACCAGGAACTGTGAACCAGTATGCGCCCCCTCCCAAAACCATACTCTGGCGTGTATTTGCAGGACAGCCTCAAACTCCACCGCCTAGAAAATGTTGGCCGATTCTCAGAGGGGCTTCGATGGTCTCACTCGCACAAAACAAGGCAAGATAGTGCGCTTTTGCCGATGGTTTAGGTCAAAGGCCGACATCTCAGGCCACTTTCAACAACCTCCAGAGAGCTCTCCACTCCGAAAGCCTTCGGCTGACAGTGTGAGGCCTGGAATTTAGAACATGGATTTGATTTTGTATCACAACTGCTGCCTGGTAGCTTTGCTACCCTTGCTGGAGTTCTGCCAGCTCGCAGCTGGCGCATCGGTCTCCTCCGTACTTGAATTGTGGTCCATGCCCAGAACTTGAGCCACCCTCTCCTCCAGGGACTGTTCCACTTCGGATCCTAGGATGGTCCTTGAAACCCTCTGAAACAGATTGGTAAACTTAATCACCTTGAACTCACTAAGTAAAACATAGAACCTTCCAAGGGAGGGCCTTCCTAGGATCTGACCTCGGCTGAGGCAGCTTCATCGCCCGAGTGACCATATCCACCATCGGAGGAATCAGAGGATTGCCGTTGCATTGCAGTGATGGTCCCGCCGTACCTACAAGGTCCGAGCCACCGTTTCCACGATCGTCCTCCATTAGCCGTGCCTCTATCTGAAAAACCTAAACCTGATGGGCTTTTGAGGAGCATTGCTGCTTGTAGCAAAACCTCGTGGTACGCTGCCGCGATAGGTTGCTTGGGCCACGCTGATTGAGGTAACATGTTTCCTAAACCCCAAACGCTGTACTACTATAATCCCTATTAAGGTAACCATAAAACCCTAGACCCAAAACCCTATACCCTAAACACTGTACTACTATACTCCCTATCAAGGTAATATGAACCCAAAACCCTGTTAGCCTTCATTTGGTCCAAAAAGAGCGTAAATGCTGAACCCCAAAGCGTTTAGGGTTTGGGTTTAGGGTTTAGGGTTTAGGGTTTAGGGTTTAGGGTTTAGGGTTTAGGGTTTAGGGTTGAGGGTTGAGGGTTGAGGGTTGAGGGTTGAGGGTTGAGGGTTGAGGGTTGAGGGTTGAGGGTTGAGGGTTGAGGGTTGAGGGTTGAGGGTTTAGGGTTTAGGGTTTAGGGCCCGTCCTGCCCGTGGTGAGATGGAACTCCAAGGCGTGATACGAAGCCACGGCTCACGCCGTGCGTCTAGTGGAAACCATCCAAACCCGAAAGCTTGGGTTGAGGGCTTAGGGTTTAGGATTTTGGGGAGGGTTCAGGGCTCAGGGTTTTGGGTTGAGGGTTTAAGGTTTAGGGTTTAGGGTTACAAGCATCCTGTTGCAACAAAGGAGGGCCATCTCGGGGTTTGCTCACCAGAAGGCAGCGCAGCGTGTTTTGCCGAGGGTCTCTGGGTGCAAGGCTGCCATCTCAGACCCGTTTCACTAGAGATCCAGAGAGACCTCACCCTAAACCCTAAACCCTAAACCCTAAACCCTAAACCCTAAACCCTAAACCCTAAACCCTAAACCCTAAACCCTAAACCCTAAACCCTAAACCCTAAACCCTAAACCCTACGCAACATCCAGAGAGATCTCCCTTGGGAAGCCTTCGGCTGACCCCGTGAGGCCTGGAATCTGGAAAGCAAGGATCTCCTAGGACGGCCCTGAAAGCAACCTCAAGAAGATTCCCGGATGTGATCCTCCTGGGTTTAGGGTTTAGGGTTTAGGGTTTAGGGTTTAGGGTTTAGGGTTTAGGGTTTAGGGTTTAGGGTAATACGGGAAAACAGAATATCCCCCAGGGGCCTACCTAGCTTCACTTGCATCACAACTGCAGCCGGGTAGCTTTGCTAACCCTGCTGCTGGAGTTCTGCCAGCTCGCAGCTGGCGCATCGGTCTCCTCCGTACTTGAATTGTGGTCCACGCTTGAGGCGCCCAAAGCCCCCGCCGGATCTGGCTCCTTCTGCAGGCTTGTCTGTGCTTGCTGGGGCTCCGCCCCGATGGAAATGGAAGCACAGCGGAACAGCAGCCAGGTTAGCAAGAAGACAAGCACCGTGAAAAGGAGCATGTCAAGCTGGCCAATGTAGTTGCCGATCAGCATGTTTGCGGATACCTCCTCCAACACCAGCATGGCTGCAAACTCTAGGATCACAACTAGGTTGATCAAACAGTTGATGCATACGTCGCCCAACATCCTCGCGCACTTGGATTCGCCCACTTGCCTCCGCAGCACGCAAGATAGCTTCGAGGCCGTGAAGAAAAGTATAGGAATAAGGCCAAAAGCCCAAAGCGGTCCTCGGATGACCTCCTTCAGCGACGTGGCGATTCGACCGTGCATCCGAACTGGCTCCCGCAAGTGAAGCGGGTGCCCAGGCCAGGGACGTAGGATGAAGTCCCAGTGCGCGCAAAATGAATCCAGTTGATACCACAGAATCGGCACAGCCATGAACACAAACTCCCTGTAGGTCAACACATGCGACGAAAGCTGGGTGGTCAGGCAGTTTAGGACTTGTGTTCGCACAATGCTGTCAAAGTCCTCAACGCTGCCAAACCAACTGCTTATGCAGGAGAAAATGATTCGCCGATCACAAAGCAACCTGCTTCCGTCCCTAGCCCTATGGCCAGAAGAACAGCAATGACACAAGCAGTCTTCACAGCGAAACTCTTGCAACTCCTGCTGCAAAGCCTCAACCGACCGGAAGAACTCACGAAGCTTGGCCACGCTCAAATAAAATGCCACAAAACCGATTGCCGTCAGGATTGGCCATAGGGTAAGCACACCTACATGGCTTGCTGGAATGAATCCCGCAGCCAACAGCATGCAGGACAACGACGCAAACACCAAGACGAAGCTGGGGCCCAACATTGTAGGCCTGACTCTTACACGTGCTTCCTGCCCGCCTGAGCGGGAATGCAAGAAGGCGGCAATCTCGAAACAACACCTGAGCTGTGAACAAGTTCAATTGCAGTTCATAGCAGGGCACCGTGCGGATTGTGGGTACGTGATGGTACGTGTGTATGCTGAAAATCTAAGGCTTTCACGTGCACCTATTCAGCCGGCAAGGCACCACAGACGCTTCGTGTAGGATGGATCCCAAAGCACCAGCAAGGAATCTGATGCCTTGAGGAATGCCGGCATGCTGAACAATGCCGCAGCTTTCATTGCATTGTCATTCTGGTTAATGCAGAGAATGTCCAGGAAAACTCTTTTTCTCGAGTGCCAAAGGAAAAGAAGTATGGCATAGGAAAACAAGCCGACCGCCTTCCCCCAGTAGGGCACCGCCGGATACCCAGGGGGGGAACGGGGGGGGTCTTCGAACTCCATAGGTAGCATGTCGGCTAGGAAAAGGGCCGCTGCCGCAATCGCGCAGAGTGTGGCTATCAGAGGTGCGGCTCGCCCGTTGCACAAGAAAGCAGCTGTCACGATCTTGCTCCGTGCGTTGCCATGCCAACTGTGGCTCCAAAACTCGTCAATCTCGACCGTTGGAAAGCTCAGGCGGAAAGACCCTCGGGTTCGTGTGCGGAAAGCGCGCCCGCAGCACCTCAGTGCAGTTCCAGCACGCACGGCTCGGATGATGTCTGGCCTGACTGGCCTCAGGGAGACCAGAACTTGCGCAGCCAGCGCTTCCTCTTCCTTCTCCATTTCAGATCCTAGGATGGTCGTTAAAAACCCATTTGAAACACGTTGGTAAACATAATCATCTTGAACCCGATAAGTTGGCAAAGGTGAAACATCCCAAGAGCCTACCTGGGATCTGACCTCGGCCGAGGCAGCTTCATCGCCCGAGTGACCATGTCCACCATCGGAGGAATCAGAGGATTGCCGTTTGATGGTCCCGCCGTACCTACAAGGTCCGAGCCACCATCTCCACGATCGACAGAGTCCTCCATCAGCAGTGCCTCTACCCAAACCTGATGGAATCTTGAGGAGCATTGCTGCTTGTAGCAAAACCTCGTGGTACGCTGCCGCGAAAGGTTGCTTGGGCCACGCTACCAGCTTGCTTCTGCACTTCACTGGCGCCTGCGTGCTGACATTTTCAGTCGAGTTCGAATGCAAAGAAGCCTGAACCCTAAACTGATATAAGCCCTAAACCCTGGACCCTGATGAACCCTAAACCTTAAACCTTAAACCTTAAACCTTAAACCCTGAACCCTGAACCCTAACCCTAAACCCGACTTCGAAGGCAAACAAGCCCGCAACATGGAAGAGCGCAGGCAAGATGAGCGCGTAGGATGCTGAAGCTTTGGGGACCACATGAACCCCCATTTCGAGGTAATATGAACCCTGAACCCTAAACCCTAAACCCTAAACCCTAAACCCCATTCTACTGTACTCGTTTTGTAAGGAAATATGAACCGCATGAACCCTTTTAGGGTTCACTTGGTCCCCAGGGAGCCGAAACCCTGAACCCATAAGCGGAGCAACGGGTCAGAGTTGGCTTGGGGTTTGGGGTTTAGGGTTTAGGGTTTAGGGCCCGCCGTGGTGAGATGGAAGTCCAAGGCGTGATACGAAGCCACAGCTCACTTCTCGCTTCCTCAAACCTGGCTAGTGGAAACCCTCTAAACCCTAAGGCGTGGGTTAGGGTTTAGGGTTTATAGGGTCTAGGGTTATAGGGTTTAGGATTTAGGCATGGTTCAGGGTTTAGGGGTTTAGGGGTACAGCAGGGTGAATCACCATACGGCCATCTTGGGGGTTGCTCTAGCTTCGGACTCTTTGTTTAGGGGCCAGGCGCATGATTGGAAGACATCCGCCGAGGCCTCGGGCCGAAGGTGTATAGGTTGTGAGAACCCCCCCCCCCCCCCCCCCCCCCCCCCCCCCCCCCCCCCCCCCCCCCCCCCCCCCCCCCCCCCCTCCTGCCCCCGCGCTTTTGTTTGAGCAACCGAAAACCCTAAACCCCAAACCGTGAACCTTGAGCCCCAAGCCCTCAACCCTAAACTATCCGTCAACCCTTAACCCGGAACCCTAAACCCTAAACCCAACCCTTATTGCTTGTGGTCCAGCGCTTGGGCGCTGCGGAATCACCATGCTCACACGGATGCGCTGGGCCGGGCCGACGCGGGTCGCGTAGCGTTAAAATTAACCCTCGTGGGGTGTAGAGGTTAGTTTAGGGCTTCGGGATCTATCAGGAAGGCCCATCTGTGTCCCCCTCCAAGTTTTCGCACACTTCGACAGGGCTGAGAGGGTTTCGAATTTAGGGTGGCCAAGGTTCAGGGCACGACTCGTCGTACGAGTCCCCTGACTTCTTAGATGCTAACTGGTTGATGGCGCTAGTTCGGCCTGTTCATAATGCAAAGGCAGAGCTGGTGCGGCTCAAAAAACCAGAAGCCAAGGAAGCTCTGCGAGGCTTAACCTTCGCAGGTACCAGTAGGAGCTTTAGAGCTTTGTTTGGGGGTTGAGGGTTTAGGGTTTAGGGTTCAGGGTGCATAGGGTGTAGGGTTTGAGAATCTTTTGGGGCTTTCATTAAGGCTCGAGGGCGTGGGAGGGGCCAACGGCACTTAGATGCGGCCTCCACATTGCAGGTTCGTGACCAGATGTCGTTGTCGATTCGCTTCATGCTGGCCTCTGGGCGTGCAGTGCCCTGAGCCCCGAAACCCGGAACCCTAATTCCCTAAATCCCTACAATTCCCTAAACTCTCTAAATCCCCATAATTCCCTAAAAATATAAAATCCTAATCCCTAATATCCCTAAACCCTGAACCCCAAATCTCTAAATCCCAAATCCCGAACATCCCTGAAAATCCCTAAAGCTCTAAACCCGGAGAACTCAAAGCAGCGCCCGTCATGCCACACCCCGGAACCCAAACCCGGTTTAGGGTTTAGGGTTTAGGGTTTAGGGTTTAGGGTTTAGGGTTTAGGGTTTAGGGTTTAGGGTTTAGGGTTTAGGGTGCAGGATGCAGGGTCTGGGTTTAGTGGAGCCCCTCAAACACCAACCAAACAAAAACCGGAAGCCGGCACTTGTAGGGTTCATGGTTTCGGGTTTAGGTAGCCTAGCCCTAAACCCTAAACCCTAAACCCTAAACCCTAAACCCTAAACCCTAAACCCTAAACCCTAAACCCTAAACCCTAAACCCTAAACCCTAAACCCGAAACCCCAGGGTGTGCCTTGAGCTCCTTCGAGGGTCCACACTCGAAGATGTCTTCCAGGCCGCATCGGCCCAGGGCCTCCACAGTGTCCTGGAGAAAAAGAACCCTAAACCCTAAACCCTAAACCCTAAACCCTAAACCCTAAACCCTAAACTCTAAACCCTAATCTTAGCGCCCTGGAGCATCCAAAATGCCTTGTTTTCTTAACCCCCAAATTGTTCGGACATCCCCGTGTGTTGGGTAGGACACCTCCCAAAAAGGACCCGAAACCCCAGCTCCACACCCCTAAACACCCAATTGTTCGGAAAGCCCCATGGGTTGACCCTAAACCCTAAACCCTAAGCCCTAAACCCTAGACCTAAACCGCCTAAACCCTAAACCCTAAACCCTAAACCCTAAACCCTATAGGTTGCGAGAGTAGCTGGGTCCTTCCATCTGACGGGCAGAGCCAGATCTTCCCCTGGATCAAGTCGCGAATACAAGTAGGGTTCGTGAGTCTTTAGGGTTTAGGTGCGATTACAAGTAGGGTTTAGGGTTTAGGGTTTGGGTTTAGGGTTGAGGGCTGAAGGCCCCAAGTTATAAGCAGAGTCAAAGAGACCCTAAGTTGTGTTCAGGGTTGCAAAATCCCTTTAAAGAAGCCTGCAGACATGTTTGGGTTGAGGGCATACTTTAGGGTGTCAAGCCCTGTAGCCACGACCCTAAACCCGAAACCCCTAAATCCTAAACCCTACTTGTAGATCCCTGGAGCAAGATGGGGGGTGGGGGGGGTGGGGGGCTGAGCATGTCTGCGGGGGGGGGGGGGGGGGATAGGGATGATGCGCAATGGCACCTTCGGGTTCAGGGCTTATAGGCCTAAAAGGGTATAGGGTTGTAGGGTTTTAGGGCTTTAGGGTTTTAGATTTGTTTTTGGGTTTTAGGGTTTAGGGTTTAGGGTTTGGTCGAAGGACGCAGCAACCAGCGAGCAATCAGTCGGGTCGCAGGTAGAGTCAGCCGAGGTCCACGCCCAAGAGTTCCAGCACAATCTCCGGGTGGGTATGCCGATCAATTGGCCTGCCCAAGAAGGGTTTAGGGTTTAGAGTTAATTTAGAGCTTAGGGTCTATCAGGTTCAGGAGTACGAACACAGGAAAGGAAGCAGGTTGTTTGTGGGAAGTATCCCTAAACGGACACCCAGCATATACACCCACCAAAATCGACATGGACCTCTATATACACCCGCCAAGAAAACCCAAAAACCCTAAAACCCTAAAACCCTAAAGACCTAAAACCCCTAAGACCCCTAAGACCCTAAAACCCTAAAACCCTGAAACCCTAAAAACCTAAACCCTAAACCCTAAAACCTTAAACTAAACCCTAAACCCTAAACCCTAAAACCCTAAAACCCTAAAACCCTAAAACCCCAAAACCCTAAAACCCTAAAACCCCAAACCCTGAACTAAACCCTAAACCCTGCTTCAGATCATGAAGTTCAGCATAACAAGCTCAGAAGCTGCCAGGCCAACCTGGCGCCCATGAGTACTGTACATCTGGGTCTGGACCTGGGCTTCGGGCTGTTTGGGGGCTTCCTAAGGGGAGTTACAATGTAACTACCCTCCATGTCATGGGCTTTTAGGATGGGCCCTTTAAAGGGTACCCCTTATTATACCCCTTATGTACCGAATGCAAACTAAGGGCCCATACATCAGAACCCTGGGTTTAGGGTTTAGGGTTTAGGGTTTAGGGTTTAGGGTTTAGGGTTTAGGGTTTGGGGAAGTTAGGGACCATATGTAGGGCCTGATAGGGACTGGCAATGCCTGTTCCAGGCAGCGTGCGCTTCGCCTCATGCCTGCTGCTAGGAGAGTCCCTGCTCTGCATGAATCTACACAACAGTGAAGACGGCTAAAACGGGGAGACTGACAAAGGACAACCAAAGACAACCTAGTCCTACATAGCTATGGTTTGATTTCGGCTTAGGGGGGATCCTCGGAAAATCATAAGGCAAACCCAAAAAGCATTGATCGTGCTGCCCTCAATCCTAAACCACATGAGTCCCGCACATCCTGGGGAGGAACTCCCGAAGCTTTGCCTCTGCTCGAACACGGACGCATCACTCTGTGGCAACAAGTTGGCCAGTGTTCCTGGATAAAAAACACTACAGGAATACTTAAACTATTCTTGTTCTTACGTTACGATTGTTATTCTTAATAATATTACATGGGTACACATGAGGTATGATACAAAAAATAAGAAAACCCATGCCCATTCAAATTGAGCGATGCAGGATAAGGATGACCCCTCGTCTTCCTAGTAGACCCCACTGATGCTCTTCTGCATAGTCCCCTTTCAATATGATGGGCTGTCATGGGTTCTTGGGATATCCGGGGCAGGGAATGCTTCGATCATATGAATACCCGCTTCGAGCACTGCGTCTGCCTGCAAGCGCTCCTGCGCGGGCTTCATCAGCTGCGTGTGGACAGCGCATTGGCCCTAGCATAGGGTTTGGGGTGTGGGAATGGGCTTTGGGGTATTTGGGCATTTCGCAAGAAAAAGAAGCATTGTCCCAATTTGCACAATCGCATTTATGAAGAGCCCCCCAAAAAAATTTCCCAACTTTGTACTGCTCTTGCTGGATCGTCTGTATGCTCGCTTCCTTCAAGTTCCAACCGTCTCCGCATTCGGTCGGCCAGGCAAACCATCGCCCCTTTCTCTCGTGTTGAATAGCGTCCTTTGGATGGACCTGCTCTACCTATGATGCGAGGAGTTGGAAGTGTGTTCTCGCATCATGGTCGAGTCACTCTGGGGGTGCATTAGCTCTCGTCCGCAGCCGAGAATGGGATATTCCGGAGCTTGCAACATCTTCAACACAACGTAATCTCGGACTCTTCCTCTACAAGGCTTCGTGAAAGTGGGTAGGCATCAGGCAACGTCTCACGAAATGTCCCGTACTGCTCTCTCTGTCAGAACTGTGGGCAACTTGCCTTCGGAGGTGCACAATGTTTCAGGTCCGGAGGTGTCAACTGCAAACATTGTGTCCAGAACCATATGAGGCCATCTCCAAAAGGACCCCCCCCCAACCATATATACACTGACGTTCAAAACGCTCTTACCGCAGCCCCTTATTTGATACACTCACCAGCCCGCGACATGAGCTTTATTTCATTTCATACACTATCGGCTCCGAAGTATTGCAGGACTGATGCAGCTCTACTGGCAACAATGCTTGCTTGCTCCCTTTCGGCCTGGGAGATCCTAGTACTACGCCTGGTCGCCCTGTCTAGGGCCCACAGACTTGCGACAAAGGAGAAAGCAGCTTCCCACAAAAAAAACTCGGAGCATCCGAGGAGTCAGGGATGGCTTCTAGGTCTTCAAGTGCAGGAGACTGGCAGACGCTTGCAGTTACCAAGAAGGAGTGACTTCCGGTTCTCACCTTGTCCGCCTCTCCACCCTCTGAAGCAATCCAGCGAGGGTTTAGGGTTAGGGTTTAGGGTTTAGGGTTTAGGGTTTAGGGTTTAGGGTTTAGGGTTTAGGGTTTAGGGTTTAGGGTTTAGGGTTTAGGGTTTAGGGGACAACTAACACCCTCAACCCTCGAAACCGTAAGCCACCACCGCCCAGCTCACACAGATGCAAGTCATGCCTCAGTGCAAAGGGCAACCGAAGAGTCACCCGACACGTGTGCACATGGTTAGCTCTCTAAAGTCGTGTCCCTCTTAGCGGATCCTGATTATAAGGGTGCCATGCTATACAGGGGGAACCCGCAAACGGACTTAATTTAGAGTGAAAGCTACATCCAAATCATAAGAAGTGAGCTGACAAGGAGAAGATGATATTGGATTCGCTTCGTTCACAGGATCTAATGACTTTAAAGGCCCCTTTTGCCGCGTGAAAGGTCGCGAAGAAACAAAACCAGGAAACACGCCTCAACAACTAGAAACTGGGGCTGCAAGACGGTTCACTTGGGCTACTAAAAACTACCCACCTGCTGCGGGCCGTCACATGAACTGGGAGCCTGGCACCACCTTTACTTTGAAGGTATAGCTGCCTGCGAACCTGCGTTTGGATGGTCACCCCGTGCAAACCCTTACAATCTGTTTTCATTTTTTGATATCATGTGTCATTGTGTTGTATGGTTCTATGAAACTATGGTGCTATACTTTTGTATTTCTTCAATGTTTTCTCAGTTCATGCTTGTCCTTTTGATATTCGTACATGCGGCTACCAGCGTCACCAGAGCGCAGGACACCCAACGCGAAGCCGCAAAGCGCCTTTGTCTGGGACAGCATCACACATCTCCTGGGCTTGCCGCATGGTTCGCAGCAATGCCTGCATGACAGGAATCTCAAGCGATCAGAACCTTCCCTCCCCCACTATAGTATCTTATATGTTGCTTTTACTTTTTGGTTGTATCCTTATTGTAACGTGATCATATAAGTCTATGGCTGTTGTAGTTCAACATAATCTATTCTGTGGCTATACTATGCTGTATATATATATATACTATGCTATAGTTTTCTACATTGACAATGTGCCAAAGTGTTATGTGAACCAAAAACAAAATGTGTTGCATGATTGCGTGTTTTGTCGCATGAATGCAGTATTCATCTTTACATTAGAATATCGTTGCATCGTTGCATGATGACAAGAGCACATTAGGACATAACACAAGTACATTTAGGACATTGCTATATTATTACAATACTATAGTACTGCAGTCATGTATTACTATAGTACTGCAATCATGCATTTATTGTAATACATGCTTTATGTTAATATCATATGAGCGACGGACAACATTCCTTAGGAGAGTGCGAGGTCGCGGAATACCATGTTATCGTTTTACGTGGGACCCATATCGAATTACATACTGCGGAACAGCGGGACCCCATAAGCAAAATTTGCAAACCAATGTTATCGCTTTAGGTGGCGCCCATATCGCTTTGCATGATTTACTGATATTCGCAACAACTCGTGTCCACCGTAGTACTGGCTTAGACGAACATAATTTTGGCAGGCGATCATATACACGCATTTCTATATTATGTTATTGTATACTACAACATCAGCACAAAATAGTTTTATAGTATTAGAGTACTATGACGTCATTGTAGTACTTGTCGTATCTATGGTACTATAGTATTGTCGCAGTCTAGTGCTATAGTCCTGTAGTACCATAGTTAGTGTTCCCAGCGTGGCCTGATGGGATCGCCCTCGCCTTGGCGCACATCGGCCAGACATGCGTGCTCAATATAGGGTTTAGGGTTTAGGGTTTAGGGTTTAAGGTTTACGGTCTCTTCACGGGCACACCTTACACCAACGCCCTGGCAACTAAGGAGTTGGCTGCTGCGCTAAGTCAACGGGGCGTCTGAGATCCGAATCCTGTCAGGCCGACAGAAGCACCAATCCAAGCCCTGTCGTTTCCCAAGTCTCACCACGTCTCACAAGTGGGCCTGAAGCTCAAGCATCTGTAGCAGCTTCCTGAAATCCTCGGGGGGCATGGTCGGACATGGACATGAGTATCCTGAGACTCCTGTATCCGGCTGGCTACTCATGCGGACAATGCCGGGGGCCTCGGCGAGCAGAGTATCGAGCAGCCATCCTCGGTGGTCAGGCGTGGTCGCATGGCAGCCGAAAACAGAACTCATGAAGGGTAAGGTAGATGGGAAATAATAGCTGAGCTTCAGACTCAAGCAGGCGAAGTGCGGCTCGGTTCTCTTGCCCTGAGGCAAAGCGGGCAAACGGGCCGCGCTCTGCGCCAAAGGGCAGGAACTTCTGGTGGTCGAGGGATCGCTGTAGGTAATTCAGGTTTAAGGTCTGAGGGGCTTAGGGGCTTAGGGTCTTAGGGTCTTAGGGTCTTAGGGTCTTAGGGTCTGGGGTCTAGGGTTTAGGGTTCAGAGTTTAAAGGGCCTAGAGTTTGGTACCCTTGAGTTTTGGGGACCCTTTTGAAAGATCCTTAAGGTAGAACCAGGGCCAGACTAGGAGTATAAGAAAGAGAACCCTTTAGGGGTACGACCTTAGGGCTAGCAGTCTTCATCCCTTGAGTTTTAGGGTCTTAGGGTTTAGGGTTTGTAAGGGCTTAGAGTTCTTATACCCCCCCCCCCCCAGGGTTTAGGGTTTAGGGTTTAGGGTTTCGGGTTTAGGGGGTTTAGGGTTTAGGGCTATATCTACCCCCGCACCTTCTCAAGTTCAAGCTGCGTAGCAACGCAGAGCGCCCGGCAGCCAGTATGTGGAAAGCGTTCCTTCGCCCGTTGTCCACTTCCTGACTGGCCTCCCGGAAGCCGGCTAGCCCCAAAACATATGGGGGGTTTCCGGAAAAAGGGGTACCCCAAGGGGGGGGGGGGGGGTCCCTTTAAGGGGATTCTACTCTATTTGGGGTGCAAAAGGGCTGCCCCTATCATGGGAAATACCCACCCTAATCCAATGTCTCGTGATCCGATGGCTGATATAGTCAATCGCAGTGCTTCAGAACTGCTTCGACAACAAACCAACATCTATACTCTATATATATATATACAATATATATATATAGATAGATATATATATATGTATATATATATATGCACACACACACACACGAAGATACGAAGGTTTTTGCTTTATTGCGCGAGCATTCGATTTGGGGGTTCCGTCCTAGGGGTACCTTTCGGGGGTTCCGATAATAAGGATTATACTACTTTGGTGTACATTATTTAGGGTTTAGGGTTTAGGGTTGAGGGCTAAACCCTAAACCCTAAACCCTAAACCCTAAACCCTAAACCCTAAACCCTAAACCCTAAACCCTAAACCCTAAACCCTAAACCCCATTTGTGGGGCTCTTGGGCCTCGAGGTCGGCTCTCAAGGCAACGAGAACTTTCAGACTTGCCAGCTGCCCCGCAGCCGCGGCCGAAAGAAGCGGCGTGAGACCTGAGGACTACAGCCTTTATTTGGAGGTGCGGATGGTTTAGGGTTTAGGGTTTAGGGTCTAGGGTTTGGTCTAGGGTAGGGTGGTTTAGGATGTAGGGGCATTAAGCCCTGAAACCCGAAAGCTCGAAGGAGCCTGAAGACAGTATGCTGGCGTGAAGTTGCAGCAGTAGCAGCGCTAACCTGCAGCAACAGCCCTCGGACGCCCTGTCACGGCTTTAAAGTCATGACCAACAAAAAGGAAGTGCAGGGTTTAGGGTTTAGGGTTTAGGGTTTAAGGTTTAGGGTTTAGGGTTTAGGGCTTAAAGTTTAGGGTTTAGGGTTCACGGGAGTTGGGTTCCCCCACTAGACATTCAGAGTGAATAGGCGCCGAGGCTGCAACCAGCTTTGGACCGAGCCTGGCCCCAGAGTCGGCTTCGGAGCTGACACACACGATATGCATATCTCAATACAAGCAACATATAATATATATATATATATATATGTATAATGTATATATATATATAGATTATGCACGAAAGAATATGTACATACATACATACATACATACATATACATACATATACATACATATATATGTATATATATATATATACACATACACACAAACAAGGGCGCGCGCATGTGAGTGTGTGTGTGTGTGTGTGCGTGGGTGTGTGTCTGTCTGTCTGTGCGTGTGTAGCGGCGTGTCGAGTTCTTTCTTCTGTATGAATGCATGCATGTATGACTGTACGGATGTATGAATATACGTATATTTGGAGTCCGGGGGACTGTGGGAGTGCACTTTTTTCTGTTTTTTACTTTGTCGTACTTGATAACTATCGTTCAATCTTCAGCTGGTGATCTCTCGCATCTTAATTATGAATTTTCATTATTTATGTGAGAACATGCTATGTATGAAGTGCTACCACGCTTCATGCCCAGGCCTTGGTCACATTGATCACATGGAAACAGCTTTTCAGAGCAAGTGAGTATCCCAGTGTTTTGGGCTATGGCAAGATACCCAGGTGAGTCTATACCTGGCTTAGTTCGTGAACTTTCGATGTATGTATATATCACATAAATAAATAAATAAATGGGTGTATATATATATATGTAGACACAAATATATATATATATATATATATGATGCCAAGAGGTAGGGCCTCCAGCTGTGCACCTCCTCGAACGAGCAGGCTGCAGACGTCTGCGTGGCCTGCCTACGGGTTTCGAGAGGACTGCTCAAAAAACCTGCCAAAACCCTAAACCCTAAACCCTAAACCCTAAACCCTAAACCCTGAACCCTACACCCTGCTTTCTGAAGCGCGGAACTCACAGTCGTTTTTGAAAGACGCCTCTGCAGCCAAATGAAGGGGAGAACGGCCTCAGGAATCTGGACAAAATGCGAGACACCGCATAGCATCCACACAATATATATATATATAATGCAAGCAATGCATGTATGTATATATATATATATATGTACTTTTTCTATATGAAGACAGTACATGTTGTTACTATGTAATATAACCTACAGACTGAAGAGGTCCGCGCCGCACCACTTCGCGTCGGGCCGCTCGGGCATTCCTTCCGGCAGGTTCTGCAGTTCTGCTTGCAGGAGATTTGCAGGCATTTTATGGCCCTTAAAACCCTCTGAAAGACATTCCTGAACAGAACCCTCTTAAACCCAATAAGGGAGAAACGGGCTAGTTATGTTGACGTTGAGACACATATGAGACGACATTTATGCCGCTTCATCTTGACATGGTCAATTCTAACATGATGGTCCCTTTTGGGTAACCCTGAATAAGAGGGGCCGCCTTACACTAGGGACCCCCAAAAGGAACCACATTCTAGAGAAGTGACCGCATGCATCCAGAATGGTCATCCTGACTCCGGCACTGCTGCCCCACACGAGCAGCGCATCGACAGCAGCGTCCTGCAAAGAAGCAACTGCTTATGGGGGACCTGTGAGCACGATGCAGGAGCTCCCTTAAACCCGAAACCCGAAACCCGAAACCCTAAGCCCTAAGCCCTAAGCCCTAAGCCCTAAGCCCTAGACCCTAAACCCTGAACCCTGAACCTACACCCTCCTCAGCACATCGACGTGCCCATTGCTTGCTGCGTACATTGCGGCCGTGAAGCCACCCGGGCCTGGGGGCTCGATTGGGAAGCCCCAGGGCTGAGGCTGTTGGGCCCCCTTCCCTTCAGGGTTTAGGGTTTAGGGTTTAGGGTTTAGGGTTTAGGGTTTAGGGTTTAGGGTTTAGGGTTTAGGGTTTAGGGTTTAGGGTTTAGGGTTTAGGGTTTAGGGTTTAGGGTTTAGGGTTTAGGGTTTAGGCTAACTCGAAGTATCGGGCTCCGATTCAGAATGGGAACTGCGACAGGGAGCATCAACATCTGAAGTACATGGAAGCACACAAATCAGATCGGAGGGAGAGCGCACGAACCCTAAACCCTAAACCCTAAACCCTAAACCCTAAACCCTAAACCCTAAACCCTAAACCCTAAACCCTAAACCCTAAACCCTAAACCCTCGAAAAAACACAGCACGGGCCAAGCTCGCAGCTGGCGGCGTCGATTTTTGGAGAAGCCTGCCAAGATTTGGCTCCAAGTTCAGTCATGATGGGGACTAAGAACAGGAGCTGTACTACCGGAAAACAGAATTCCATGGGATTCTTATGGACCTTAAGTTTGAAGTTTGAAGGGTGCTCAAGCCATGAGAAGCGCCAAGCTGCGTTTCCTTAAGCCCTAAAAGCCTAGTTGTCCAGTAACCTGGGGGAATTAAGGGTTAACCTTTGGGAATTAAATTAATAAGGGGTTCTACTACCCCCAAGCAGTGTAAATGTTACCTACTCTACCCTAAACCCTAAACCCTAAACCCTAAACCCTAAAGTCCCACGCCTGGAGGCAAGTCCGCAACATCCTCTGGTCACCCAGTCGAGCTGCCTCCATGTTCCCAAGCTCAGGTTTGGGGTTTGGGGTTTGGGGTTTGGGGTTTAGGGTTTAGGGTTTAGGGCCGGTCTGGCAATCACTGGCACTTGTAGCAGTGAGGTGTTGTGGACATTGAGAGCAAAGTGAGTGGACAACCGACAGACTGAGACTGGAGCTGCCCCCCGATGGGCCTTTTTTGAACCTTAATTAAGCCCTAAACCCTGAACCCTAAACCCCTCAATTAAGCTTCAGCTGTGCACCAAGGGCCTCCCAAAGCGTTGCAAAGTCGTTGGGCAGCGCATCGTCTCGCGCGATGGCTCTTCGTGACCCTTCCAGCAAGCTTGCAGATGCAGTCTCTTCATCCGTGACGTAGCGGTTGCAGCGTCATCTTGCAAATCTCATCCCTACTTCTTGCTAGCCCTTCGGCTCAAAATGAGCGAGAGTGCCTTTGGGCCCAACAACCCTAAACCCTAAACCCTAAACCCTAAACCCTAAACCGCTATGAGTCCTTGGAGCCAGCTGGTAGCCTTGCAGCCTGGCCTTGTCTGTAGAGGTAGATGTCCTGGGGTCGCCGCCCACGGCAGTCCCGCATAGACTTGAGCCTGCCGGAGAGCACGCAAGATGATCCATGGGTTTAGGGTTATTAGGGTTTAGGGTTATATAGGGTCTTAGGGTTCAGGGTACCATGGGTTGAGGGTTTAGGGTTATTAGGGTTTAGGGTTATATAGGGTCATTAGGGGATTCGGGTATTAGGGTTTAGGGTTATGAGGAACAGGGTATTAGGGTTTAGGGCTTAGGGTTCAGGGCCACCAAGACTTGCCGAGAGCCTGGAGTAGTCGGCATCCCAGCGGCAAAGGAAGCGGACCAGCTCCCGCCGTCCTGCATCTTGGGGTTTAATAAGGGCTTACTAGGGTCCTCTAAACCCTAAACCCTAAACCCTAAACCCTAAACCCTAAACCTTAAACCCTAAACCCTAAACCCGAAACGCGGCGGCCTTCGTCGAGTGAGCAGCTGCATGCCACGTGCAGCGCATTCCGCCGCATCTTGTCCTGCCACGCAGGAGCCGAGACTCCGCAGCCCCTCCATCGAACACTTCTTGGAGTAGGGTTTAGGGTTTAGGGTTTAGGGTTTGGGGTTTGGGGTTTAGGGTTTAGGGTTTAGGGTTCGTGGTACGTAGTAACCCAGTTATAGCTGCACTTATCACCCAATTACAACCCTATGAGGGTGCTTAAGGGGCTTGCATGTGGGTTTTACCTACACTTATCATGGGTTACCAAGTACCCTGAACCTCCAAGTTGTGCAACCAACCCTAAACCCTAACCCTAAACCCTAAACCCTAAACCCTAAACCCTAAACGCGGAAGGCTCCTCGGCATAGCAGTCCTGGGTCAGGGATGGGCAGAGCCAGAGCTGGGACTGAATCAGATGCTAAGTGCAGTTCTCTATGCTACCGATTATCAGATGTGATTTTGTGAAATACATAAATAAAGGAAAATAAATGAAATAAATAAATAACTAGAGATGTATATATATATATATATATATATTTATATGTATGTATAT